TCACCACGCTTGCTCAATGCGGGTTGGCGATTTCAAACTTATAATTAGAAATTATAAATCCAGGTTTCCTCACGATATTTACCTTCACCGTATGTCAGTGGTGTCTAAATAATCATAGAAAGTGCATATAACTCGGAAAATGTCATATTGGTACTTGCCAGGTTTAGAACCCGCACCCTCAAGCATGAGAAGCGGGCTCCTTAACCTACGGGCCACTACGACCTTTTAATATAAACGTAGCACTCCATAACTTATCCAGATTAGTTTAACCACTACGATGCGATTGAGTTACAATATAGGGATGATTTTCAAGCGACGGTAGAACACTGAATCCCAAGGCAGAGAATAACATACGTTAGCAGTGGGGGTTGAAAATAAATAAATAAATAGCGTATTTTTACTTGTTATATTTGTACTTTACTATACGTATACCAGAATAGGTAAGAACCTAGGCTAAGTTATTGAAATACGTTATCATATGCATACTTCTAAGTATGCATATAATAGGCGGTCTTATCTCGCAATGATGATTTCATCCAGACAACCTTTGGATAATGTTAAGGTCGAAGTCAAATCATTTATTTCAAATAGACCACAATAAGCACTTTTCAAAATGAAACAAAAAAAAATAAAAAGTTCAAGTTTGTGTGTCTCAGCCTGTCGGTCTGTCCACTAGATTCCTTTGGAGAAGAACGGGAAAGAAACTCCATGCTTAATCTTTTTCAATCAATTTCACTATTCATTTCTTTGTGAAATTATTTAGTTGGTTCCATTAGGTACTTCGTCTCGCAAGCATTATATTCATTCTTTCACACAACCCATTTTGTTGAGGCGTGTAGGTGTTATTTTTTAATATATTATCCCAAATTTCTTAAAATAATAATCAAAATAAACGATATAGTTATCTAAAACAAAAAACATCAACGTTCTAGCAAGTTCTTCGTTCTACACAGTCAAAGAATGTAAATAAAGTGTTAAAGAAAAGATCTAGACCATTTTAATGAATGTTTACACTATTAAATAATAATTTATAGGTAAATAGATAGTTTTATCAAATCGTCATTTGCCCTGTGTCCCGGACGTATGATAGTTTACAAATTTTTCTTACTGATAATGTTTACATAATGTTTACTTACTTTAATATCTTGATATAGTACCTAGTACTTCAATTAATTGATAATTGAAGTAGTTAAATCGCCATTACCTTTCTAATTAACTTTATCGTGCAAGTGTACTGAAATATAAACAGTACAGAAAATAATGCAGAAGATGTAACAAGTTTAATCTTTGATCGGAAAACTACGATTTAGTTACCTATCCGCTTGTAAGATATCATTTCGACGAGAGATGATCTCCGGCCACCGTAAGCGCGGGTCTGGGGACGGTGAGTAAGGGTAGCTCGCCGCCCGACCAGAACCAGACCCGAGCGTACGGCGCGTAGTGTTCCACGCTCGCCTCAAAGAGCCAATAGACCATTACAGACGGGGCCCTATAGGAGTGATGTTCAGCTGGGGTTGCGGGATAAGGAGGGATAAGGAGAACGAACGGGGGGGTTTTAGTCAGTAAGAGTCGACACGCCAGCCCAGGCCTGGGCGAGAGAAGTCATTTGATGACGGATGACGGTGTCACCCATGGATGCAACAACAAAGGAGTTGAAACTATGTTGTTAGAGATATGACGATTCGGGGATTGGGGTAGAGATTGGGCCTCCTGTAACCTCACTGTTACAGAGTGAAACACAACAAAAGCGTCGTTTTACGCTGGTTTTCTCTGTGACTGTGGTACCACAGTAAGTTTGTCGTGAACCTACCTATTTATGCAGTAGATTTTTTTTTAAACACATTTACACACAGTATGACTTTCCCACGGAAAACAGAAATAAAGTATTTACCTATTGCTCTCTCTCTCTCTCTTTATGTAATATAAGATCAACGAAATTGGATTAGTATGTTAGTTTCTTGTAAATGTAGAAGTGTGGGTAAGTGTGCACGCACTCGACATAAACATACGCCTACTGTAACAAAAACTCTGAGAATAGAACCTTGGTGTATCTCTCAGGAGTTTTTATTATGATAGTGACACAAATTACGTAAATGTGGAATAAAATTACATAACAACATACGTACACACAATACATACATATTTATTGATATTTGTTATTATACGTAAATATGAGCTTAAAGGTGATAGCGAAAAAAATACAGAATTGAATGTGCATGGGAAAAAGTTCGAAAAAAATTCATACTGTTCAAGACGTCCAAAGCTGAAAACAACTACCATCATTATCAGCTATTAATTTTCTACTGCTTAGGTATACCAAAGGCAAACGCTTTCTCACAGGAGAAAAGCATTAAGCATTAACCACTACGCTTCAGCAACGCGAATTGACCGTTGCTATAATTTATAATTGGTTTCCTCAAGATTTGTTCCTTCACCACTTGTCAGTTCTGTCTTAATCAACATGGAGAGAACACACAACCCGAAAAGGTGGCATTGGTAATGGCCAGGTTTCGTACTTATCTCAAAAATTTGTAGCCTTATCCTCCCATATCCTCTAAGCCGCAATAAAGTTCTAGAACATGGACCACATTAAAATTACCTAAACATAGGAAGCGATCTGCATTCTTGGAATCAAACCTATATTACACCTTCTATTTGATATTCCAATGTTTATGTATATCATGGTATAATAAATATCCCAATACGGAAGTTTATAGGCTGTTTAGGTAATCTGTTAATATTTTTAAATAAAATTACCTCATTGTTAGTATTGTCTTAAAAATACTGATGAACAGAAACTTCGCACATAGGCATCTTATTTTTTTTTCTTTAATATATCTGTCGGCGCACTGGCCATCAGCACATGTAAAACCTCTTTGTTATACGTCGATGTCAAACTTCACTGTCAGATGTCATAGCGAACACCAAGCTCTGGTGAGGCGGCCTTCTTGTAAAACAGGACAATTAGTATTGGACCTTCGTAGAATACGCACGCAGCCACGTGTAGATCGGTGGACGTTAAATTCAAATCCAAACTAATCCTAATTATCCTTAGTTAAATTGTAATAGTTGTGATTGTAATAACAAGAGTTGTAAGAAGAGCGATTATAGCAACAGTTATTTTATTGAAATACTGTCTTCCTATCCGATAATCCGCGCCTAATTGAACATGTCAAATTATTCTAATCATAGTCGAAAGACTTCATATCTAACAATAAATTCAATATTTATGAAACTTGTTTTCTTGTAATGATCTACACTTTTTTGTTTTACTGTTAAAATTTTTAGTTGCTTTTGTGAAATTAATAGATTAACCATAAAGTTTCTTGCTTGCTCATCTCCATCGGAATTTAGATTTAGGATCGAGCAAATAGCTCCACTAAGAGGACTGACCGAAAGACTGACATTTTTATCTTTAATTGACGTTCGAAAGTGTCTGGAATGGACTTATTATAATAAATGATTTTGTTTTTAAATTACTTTGACTTCAATGTTAACATACTAATACATTTTTTCCTTTCATAATAATAAGACACTGTTTTATTGAAATAACTTGACTTGGCTCACGAGGTTGTTGACATGTGGAGTGTGGACTCGGCTATCATTGTGCCGATAGTTGTGTCGGTAAATGGGTTAGTCCCCAAAAGCCTTCGACAACCACCTTAAGAGGCTGACGTAAGGCGGATGGATCAAGGGCCTCATACAGACGGCAATGCTCCTTGAAACGGCACGTATTGTGATGAGATTTCTGTCTCTGGAGCCCTAACCATCGATGGCTTGGACCTTGCTCCCGCTACCGGCTGGCTCCTATTTTTATATTTTTAAATATTTTTTTATTATAATTTTTAGTAATATTTAAAAATGTTATTGGAGAGTTATTAAAATAAATATGTAGACACTGTTTTGTATTAACGTTTAATATTTCCATTCTTATATGTATATGAGTTGACATTTATAAGATACATAGGTACAAAATATATTTTCGTAGCCAACTGTCTATCTTTTTGGGGTAAAACAGACGTGACGTTGCTATGTGTGGGAAAATAAATGAATAAAACAATACAAAACTTGCACATTGAAATCGTTATTAATCTATTTTTTATACTATTTGTTTCTCATGATTGTTGTAATAGCAATTAATAAAAATTATACCATTTGAAAAATATATTATAAATAAAACATTTTAACATCACTAGTGAATTACAACTTTTACACCATAGGCTATTAGGCAGTATATTAAAAACTGATGGACAATTAATAGGCATTTTTAATCAAATTTGATAAGTTATGGCCTAGAAAAGTTAAAATTGCAACTGCCGTAAAAACGGAACAGAATACTTTAAATTATCGAAGTTACATCATAGAAGACTCGTACTTGCTGCGATATAGGTACATATTTGTGTAGCAGTCGCGTAGTCACTGCGTATTATTTGCGTAGCAGTCGCGTAGTCTGAAGCGATTGAAAAAAAAACATGCAAAATCATTAGATACTTTGTCGAATATTTACATCATTTTGAATTACTTAGTTTTTATACGACTCTTCGTCAAACTTATCAAGATGGCAGAGTGCATTGACACGAAGTTTGTCCAAATATATTTTATAATTACTTCACTAACCAAATTACGTAACCATTTTTTTAGTTACCTAGCTTATATTATATAACTAAAAACGAACTACCTAAAAACTTTAAACCACTATTGAAAAATCTCCAGAGGAGTTTAGAAAAATCTTAATGTACAACATAAACGTCAAAGAACAATTTCCTTGTGTTATACTATTTATATAAAAAATATACCAACCAACCAACCAACAAAACATACCAAAACAAAACAATTCTTACTTATTGTAACACCGAAATCAAAATATCCGTTCATAAAAATTACATATCACAAGTGAAATCACCATAGAAATGCATTGAATGAGTGTGATTTACTATAGCTCAGTACTTTAACTATGTATGTATGTACAGCACATGCGTCGTTCCGCATTGGACTTGCGTATCAGTCAGTCGCGATCCGAAGCGTGCACGATACGGTCGCTCTGTCGTCGCACCTCCCAATATAACCGCGACGTCAATAACATCGCGAAGTTTTACCAAAATATTTACAATAAAATACTTGAATTGAAAGTGCGTGGAATTAAAATGTAAGAATAATATTTTTTTATTTTAATATCGTTATTTTAAAGGTAAATTTGATTAGTGAGTCATGGGTTTTAGAAATTTGTAGAAAGTCGTGTGCTTTTGTGCGTAATGTACTAAGGTTGTGATGTGAGATATTGGATTTACTTTCGTTTTCATACGTCTTTTGATATACATTTAGTATTTCATATTGTATGAAAAAAGTCGTTAGTGAAATAAAAATCTTATATTCATATTTTCAAATACCGTCATTTACTTTGTAAAGTATATCTACTTTTACTCGATTAGCCAAAAAAATGGCTGACAACGCAGTCGTTACTTTCATCTCAGTCAACAGGTTAACTTTTAGATTTCAGTTAGAAACTAACCCAAATATTTGAAACACAAAAATAATTATCTTGTTGTTACTTTATTTATTTTTATGCGGGTACCTACCAGTAATCCAATCTGGTTTTTTAAATGTTTTAGTTTTATTATTTTGTCGTTTGGTTTAAAATTTTGAAAACTGCTAGACCTACATTGAATAAAAATTAATTACTTTCATGTTATTTAAAACAATAACATTAAACATCTCTTTTATAGAAATTTATCCATCAAAAAAGTTAAATAAATAAAAAATAATTTATTTTTTTAGTTTGTAAAAAAAAGTGCGGTGATATTAATTTGACATAAAAAAAATAATTTTTATTTTACCTACACCATGTATCTGTATTGTCAGCAATGACGGTTAATGTCAACATTGCATGAGTACTCGTAATCTAGGGTAAATGATGACGTTGATTTGACTTACCTAAGCAGCTAGGTATTTCAAAACAGTTTTAAATAACTACTTACGAATTTAGTTCTCTCAACAAAAAATAGCCTCGATGATAAAAAATAAAAATACGACTTTTGTTAATTAAACGTTTTTGATAAAATTAATTGCGACTTAAAATCATCATTTTAGCAAAAATCTACCCAAGCTGATTAAAATTTTAGTTCATTGTCGAATAATAATAAAGTCACGAAACTGCGCTGTGGTACTTATCATTATATTTTATTTTTTAATTACATTTTACTGAATATCAGAGAACAATAACAATTTCGTTGCAGTTGACTGATTAGGCGGTATCTTTCATAGCTCTTGTCATTTGATAACAATTGTATTTTGTTACACTTTACCAATACTTTAATTTGGTACCATAAGTACTCATAGAAATTTAAAGATTAAATATTAAACTATTCTCAAGTAAAAATTTTGTTTTGGGAAACAATTGCGAAGGACGGAGTTTACTGTTATCTGTTATTATTATTATTAAATTTATGTACTGTATGCTTAAATAATTCTGAATAAGACATAAGAGTAAATAAAACATCAAGTAATATATCTCTATACGGACCATTCTATAAAGCTGTGTCTTCATATTATTACAACAATATAAATACCAAGCAATATGTATAAATAAAAGAATGTTTCAATAAACTTTTCAGTGATAAAAATAATAAACTTTATTTAGTAATATTTTTTTAATTTTAATGTCATATGGCTTCGTACGGATACAATACTGATACTAAGTTTCTTCAATCATATTATAAAATATTTAAAAAAACGCATTAAAATTTTAAAATCATGGATAGGGAAAACGACTATGATTTAATTATACTATCTAGTGAGTAGTAATGCCAAAGACATCCTCTCCAGTCTCTTGATGGGTGGATGGGTGATGTAGTGTAAAGAAAGTATGAAAGGTGCAATAAGAAGCGAATTTGTACCAATAAACTTTGTTTACCTCAAGTCTTAAGTCAAGGGTATTAGTCTCCATAAGAGGATGAGCTGATGCTCAAATGTAGATAAAATAACTCGTGCTTCAACGTAAAAAAAAACAGTCAAGATAATTCTAGTGATAACTCGTTACAAGTGCATACACAAACATTTGTAGGTATCAAAGTTCTGGTAACATTCCATTAAATTCTGAGAAAAAGCGTTTGGATTATATTTCGTGTAATTGATATAAATACTGATTAATAGTGACTTGTAAATAACGTTTTAAACAATTAACAAAATGGTTGACTTTAAAGGTAAATTAAACTACACAATGAAGAACCAACGTATAATAATAACGTATCGGCATAAAAGTAATGTATGCCTGGATTTTAAAAACAGCAGAGGGTAAAACGATAGCTCGACTAAAATACGTAATACGTAAGTATAATTGATCGGAAATCCGACCAGCGGTTTCAGAGATACCTATGTATACATACATACAATTTTTACCTATTTATAATATTAGTATAGATTTAACTGTCGATACTATACATTTGTATTGTTTTGAAAACAATTACACCTTTTAGTTTTAAATGAAACGGAAATTTGACACTGTAGTGTTATATTTTGTTCTGTAAACTGTAATACGCAATTCACACAAACATGAAATCTATAATAAACGCATGCGCTAAATAAATAAATACCATATTTAGATTTCACATTACATTATTAGGTAGGTACCTAAGAACCAATCACGAAATAGATCAATCCATCAAAATTTTGGTCCGAGGAAAATCCCTATCGACTGACATTTCCAAGTCAATGTATTCGTGACGAATGAAAGCACTCGTTGAATTATTCAAGACATAGGTACATAACGTGACATTGGCCGTGGTATTAATAACAGTGACGGCGTGACGTGACGAACTGAACTAAAACACGTCTTCAGAGCCAAGTACATTTACGAAATGTTCCGTGTAATGACGTCATAGGATAGAATACATATATTTGTCAACATACTGTTCCCACGTCGGGATTGTGGGGTAGGCGCAATGTGGGACCGCGGCCTCGGTCTATTTAAAGCAGGAGAAGGAAAGGGGGGAGTTTTTAATTAGAAGGAGTGTGACACTTTCTTTCGCCTTAGTCTGAGCGGGAGAAGTCATTTGATGATGTCGTAAGAATCGACTATAGGACTACATATTTAAAAGAGAGAAGGCAGGCTCGCTGGGACATCTGAGCTTATTATTCATTCAACTCAAGTGTGGGAGAGCCATGCTTCCGCACGAATGGATCGGCTCGACAGGAGTGATACCACGGCCTCACAGAAATGTACGTTGTGTTTCGCCGTCATCCTTCCCCTCACCTATCCTCACAAATCAAATCCCCTATCCATAAATCATTAATTACACAAAAGAGACCGGCAACGCACTTGTAATAAATCCTTTAGTATTACCAGTGTCCATAGGCGACGCTGATAGCATCAGTTAATCCGTCTGATCGTTTGCCGACCTGTGACACATAAAAAAATATTATTTCCAACCTGCTTTCCAAGCGCGGAGTTATCTCGCAGAGGCTCATAGTCCAAGTATCACGGCCTGTTAATGTGATGGACAAAGACAGCAAGATAATTATTATCGTATTAATTTTGAAATGTTTTAAACATATGACAAACTAATTCACCTAAACATCAATGTAACGTCAGCAGGTCATAAGCACGCGGTTTTATTTTTGTTACAAGAACGCGGTTTTTTCACTTAGTCAAGTTGTTAACCTCAGTTTTAGTTATGTGCTTATATGAGCGGCTTTTAAGTGTGTCTAGATTAGCACTACATATTTTTGGGTATCGCTAGCTCGGTATTTGGCATTTAGCTCGCCCACGCTTATGAGACTCACCCTAAATAATGAAAGGTTCCACCCTTTGTCCAGCTTTTAGAGGTCATTCGATCAGTAAACCCCAAAATGCGAATTTTATTAGGTCGGCCTATCATCTGAGCATGGGTGACCTTTTCAAACACGAAAACTGACGTAGGTATACTATTCGTGTCAACATAATTTTTCCATCTTGTATTTTTCGTGGCACTTGGAGAGTAAGATAATGTAAGAGTAAGATTATTCAAGAAAAAATCGGCTTTTAATTAATTTCCTCCTTTTTGTAGCTGATTTTGAAGAAGCATCTAAGTATGCTAAAAAAACATCACACAATATCGTAAAAAAATCTAGAAAACAATTGTTATAATTCGAAATACACTTTGGATTTGTCTAGTCACGCGTCCAACCGTTTACAACTGTGAGAAATAATATTTCATAAGACGGGACTTCAATGTGTTTCTAGAGTTCAAGTACTCGTTTTTATTTTGTGATCAAAATATATTTTGATCATAAATTGAATATCGAGGCTTTGACATTGATTGAAAAATGCTCGACTAGTTTCAAGTCACTACGGGACTCTTACTCATGAGCAACTTACTCTCGGTACGAACTGTACGTCAACATGTCAGTGAAATATCACTCACTATAAATATTATATTATTTTCAATAAATTTTGTAGGTACGTCGAGAGATTGTTGACTGATTGAGATGATTACGTAACACTATATTATAATACCTACATATACAAAATCTGTTATAAGTTCATGTGAAAGGTACCAATACCATGATATTTCGAATAAATAAGAAATAAAACGCATACCAACGTTATCGTTTTTCAATAGTATTGTGTTATGCTTGTTTGTGTTTATATATACTTATTTTTATCACTTCCTTTTTTGTTTTTAAATTTTTTAATCTATCATGTTTGTCAAACTCACGCCTTTGTTGTTTTTATTCGATTTAACACTGATATACTATATTAGGAGTGGTCGTATTTAGTTCTAAACATTATTTTGTTTCTCCGTGGAAATTTACTATCGGTTTCATACTTTTTTATTCAGTGTTTGTCGTAGAAACATTGTAGTTTATGATATGCTATTTTATTTAAAATTGTAGTATAATTTAATTAAAATTCTAAAATTACTTTGAACGATTTAAATAAAGAATTAGTATAAGTACCTTTGCTATGTGTAATGAGTGGAGCTGCATATCCATAAACCGAATAAGTAGCATAGACATAAATACATATATGTATAATCTTTTTTAAAGAGTATCATTGGTGCCTCTATTGTAAATTTTGAATCGAGCACCTAGCCTCACTGAGCGTAGGCTTATAGAGTTTAGTTTAATTCGTCATATCGTTTCATACCGTTTGACTAAAAGAGACCAGGA